TTTAGTATTTTTGTTTTTAACATATACAATATCATTTTCAGAATATAATTTTAGTTTCTTCAATATGTCAGGCTCAAGATTAGATTGTTTTTGAGCACTAGGCTTCAACAAATCGTACCTGGTTCGAGGCCGAATTTTGAATACGCTTTGAGAAGGTGATATACCAGTTGAAACTGAGGGTGTATTTCTATGGACGAATAAAAAGTTTTCCAACTGATTCAAAATTGTATATTTACTCACTCCCGATCCCTTTTCACTAAACAAAGCTTTTTCTAAACCTTTCTTTACGGTTTGTACAGATTTTTCTGCCATCCCATTACTTTGTGGGTGGTATGGAGGACTTTTTATAAACTTAATAGCATTAGCTTGACAAAAAGCACTAAATTCGGTAGAATTGAATGGTGGACCATTATCAGATACTAGTTCAACAGGTAGTCCAAACACCGAAAAAATTTGCTTCAATTTTAAGATGGTCTCTTTTGCATTTGTTCCTTCATTCATCATTTTAACTTCTATCCACTTTGATTTATTATCAACTAAGATCAAAAAAGTATAGTTGTACTTGTGAAAAAAATCTATACTAACTCTGTAAAAATTGTTTGGTGCTGCTGGCCAAGGAATAAGTGAACTATTATTCGAAAATATTTGTGTTTCTTGGCAAGTATTGCATAAGCTAATAAATTGTTCAATAGCCTCATTCATACCAGGCCACCAACAATATGACCTTATGAGCATTTTGGTTCTAACAATGCCTATATGTTGTTCATGAAACAATTTTAGTACGTCATTGTGCATTATTCTTGGGATAATCACTTTATTCCCTAGTAACAGACAACCCTTTTCAACAGATAGTTCCAACTTCCTCTTAAAATAGGGCTTCAATTCATCATCATCAATGGCATTTGGCCACCCACTTAATGTTAGATCTATAGCTTTCGATAATGTGATGTCCTTTTTTGTTGCTAATGCAATGTCCATCGAATTTAAGGGTACATCGGAACACAAATTAAATGAATATGAAGAATCAGATATTTCAGTTTCCCTATTCATAGGGAGTCTCGATAATGCATCAGCATTAGAGATATGACTTCCTTTCTTGAATATTATATCATAATCATATGCAGCTAACATTAATGCCCAACGTGTAATACGTGCTGCTGCTGTCACTGGAATATTTTTATTTTTGCCAAAAATAAATTGAAGAGGTTGGTGGTCTGTTACTAAGGTGAATTTGCGTCCAAATATGTATTTATGAAATTTTTTTAAACTAAAAATGATTGCTAAGCTTTCTCTTTCCAAATTAGAATATTTTTTTTCAATGTTAGTCAATGTACTTGAAGCAAATAGGACAGGTTTATCATTTCCATCAATTTTGTGACTTAATACAGCCCCCACACCATATCCACTTGAATCACAAGTAATAAAAATTGGTTTCGTAGGATCAAAGTGAGTTAAGACATCATTTGAAGTGATTAAAATTTTACTCCTCTGAAATGTTTTTTCACACTCCTCCGTCCAAATAAAATCCGTATTAGACTTACACAGATCATATAAACTTTTCAACTTAGCAGACAACATATGAATAAACTTACCATAATAGTTCAAAATTCCCAAGTAAGACTTCAACTGTGTTACATTTTGAGGAGAAGGTGCTTTTTGTATACATTCTATTTTTTCATCTGTAGGATGGATGCCGAAACTATCTATTTTGTGCCCCAAAAATTCAACACTCTGTTCAAAGAATTTGCATTTTTTTTCATTTATTTTGACATTGAATTTTAGCAAACGTTCTAGAACATTCCTCAGATTTTGATTACATTCTTCTAAGGAGGACCCATGTACCAATATATCGTCCAAATAACATTTTGTGTGTGGTAATCCAGATAAAACAGCATCCATTATACATTGAAAAATTCCTGGTGCTGAGCTTACACCATAAGTTAATCTATTGTATCTAAATAGACCAGCATGAGTATTAATGGTGAAAAGTTCTTTTGAAGTTTCACTAATTTGTAATTGTTGGTATGCTCCTTTTAAATCCAAAACAGAAAAGTAGTTGCTACCACTAAGGCTAGCAAAAATGTCACTGGGTAAGGGTAAAATACAGTGTTCAGTATCAATAGCAGGGTTTAGCGTTTTTTTGAAATCAACACATAATCTTATATCATCAGAATTTTTTTTTGGTACGATAACAATGGGACTTGCCCATTTACTGTGAGTAACTCTTGACAATATACCAGACTCAATCATTTTCGAAAGTTCCTTCTCAACTTTTGGTTTTAGCGCATATGGCATCTCATATGCTCTGTGAAAGACAGGTTTACATCCATCTTTGACTTTAAATTCTGCTTTGAAATCTTTAATGTACGAGTTTGGCTCATCAGTGAAAAGATTTTTGTATTCAACTTTTAAGGTATCAATCATCTTCAGCCTGACATTTGACTCAGCTAGGGGTCTACCATTTGTGCTTAATTCTGACTCTAATTTGTTTAAAACTACAGTATTATCTAATAGTGTGTTTTTCCAATTTGAATTGAGCGCATTTAGCCAATTACGACCTAACAAAGGTAAAAATGTAACATCTGACTCCAACACAACCAGTGGTAAATAAAACATATTGTTTAGATACTCAATATGTACAAAAAATTGCCCTAATATTTCAGCTCTTTGACCTGTGAGTACTCTCAGTTTAAAATTGACAGGTTCCAGGACTATATTTGGGAACATTTCCTCAAAATCCTGTACATGAATCACTGATCTAACTGCTCCTGAATCTACTTCCATCTTAATTTTCTTCCTATCTAGTGACATATATACCTTCAAGCTATCCATAGAGTTACTTTCTAATGATTTTATAACCCCATCTTCTAGGATTTCTGACAACAGACCCAATTCTAGGTTCTCTTCTGACTCTTCCGACTCTCCCTCCTCTAGTTCCTCTTCTAGGTCATGTATCCTATTTTTGCACATAGCAGATTTTGCTGTATGCCCTGTTTGACCACATGAAAAACATTCCCATGCAATTGCGGGACACTTATTTTCATCTTGGTGAATTCTACAACATCTCCTACATCTCATACTCTTGGAAGGATATTTCTGGAAATTAGTGTGTGAACTTGTACTAGGACTGGACTTACTGACATAACTCTTTGACTGGTGGAAACCTGATTTCCTGTAAGCTGGTTTTTGGAACATTTTGTTGACTTGACCACTTTCAGAACCCATTTGACGTATTTGTCCCTCTGCTAACTCCATTCCAATAGCTGTTGTATATGCAGATTCAAAGGTTAATGTAGCTTCTGTGAGTAATTTTCTCTTGATACTATCAGACTTTAACCCACATACTAACCTATCTCGTAATGACTCATTCAGGAACCCTCTAAATTCACAGAATTTTGCTAAATTCTTCAATCGAGCTCCAAAAGATCTAATGTCTTCATCAGTTTCCTGATAGGCTGTATGGAACTTATATCTCTCTGCAATTACTAATCTCTTTGGACTATAGTGATTTTTCAGCTCTAACACTAGCTCATCATAAGTTTTAGTACTTGGTAAGTTAGGTGCTAAAAGATCCTTCAGGACACCATATGCTTCAGCTCCTATCAATGTTATCAACAGCGCTACTTTCTTAGCCTCGGTGATATCATTACACATGAAAAGCTGTTCCAGCCTTTCCAGGTAAGATGTTATTTCACATTCCTTAGGATTGAAGGATTCAATCTGACCAATCATTGACATTCTGTGGACTTACTTTGACTAACAGAGTAATCAGACTCAGACTTGACTTTGACTCAATTATATTATCCGCTTGATGACAGGACTAGACTCATATTGCAATTTCACTTGAAATTTGCATTGCACTGGACTTGGTATTGGACTACGTGACTGACGCTACTTTGTACTCGACCTTGAGTACCCTTGACTCTTGAGTTTCAATGACTTCAGACGAGACTCACAATTTTTGAGTTTTCCAACTCACCCAGTAGGTTCATTTCCAGAGCTCGTCGCCAAATTATGCTGTGTATTAATCTGGACACAAGATACTCTGAGTAACAACACTTTAATTATTCATTGAATTAACAGTACAATGATCCGGCCATCAGCCACCATAACGATAAGACAACTGACTGACGAATGACAGTTAACCTCAAGATCGTCAATAGCTAAAGCTGCATCTACATTTGTAAAGCTTAGAGTATACTTCTTATACATAACAGTTATAAACCATAAACAACACCCCTGTCAATGACACACAACAATCCTCTAATTTCTGAAGTAATAGACATTCCTAACCTGCAAGAATTCGAAGAATTTGAAAGATGTGACTTGCGGAAATAATTTTTTTCTCTCCAAATTCAAAAATTTTGAATTTACAACATAATAAGTAACAGTTGCATTTAGATGTACAAATGTTAGTCTCCTATGTGTCTACGTAATCCATCACACACAATATGTCACCGTTTCTTTTACAATTTTATATATCGAACAACGTTTTAACCAACTTTATCGAAGATGTAAGTACAAGGCATAGCCATAGTGTTTTCCAATGTATTTACACTCTTCCTGATGATAGAAATAAACATCTCCGAAAGCTTGGATAAACTTCAAAGAGTATTCGGTTTTTATGAAAAGGGATATTCCATAACCTGTCAATAGAGATAAAATGTCAAACTTTCTTCCTTTCACAAAAAAAAAGATTTTCGAATCTTTAATAAAGCATAGCCTAGCCAGGATGTTTGCAGGCAACTCATTTTTCCATTATTATTCAACATGCAATATGAATTATGAAATAATAGTCATCCTGAAAACAGATGGGTGAAGGTCGACCTTACTCTGGATCCTCTACTATAAAATAATGCTGGAAGACAATATATACTATGAAGTAGTTCTCACATCATCCCACAGAAATTCAATCATTAATCATTATGAAGGTCGCTAGAAAATAATTTTCAAAATCTCAACTGTATTTTCTCAATAATAACATAATTCAACTTTTCAAGGTTGGTCGATGAAGACTGTTTCCCCTATGTAGGAAGAAATGAGAATTGTTTCATCAAGAGACAAGGAAATCTTTTACAGTCAAGATGTAAACCACCACTATACGGAAATAGAAAAGCTCGATATGGAGTTGGTCCGGCCTACAGACTGGGCAATGAAAGTGATATTATGTACGAAATCACTAGATCTGGACCAGTTCAAGGTAAGTTGTCAAGAATCTGCAGGAATGTATCGAAGACACAAGTACCTAGGTACATAATCCTGAACCGTGAAAAATATCCAACTCAGATAACACATACTATACGATATGAGATGAAATAGTTGTCAATTAATTTCATAACTACTACTAATACTAATACTTCTACTACTACTACTACTACTACTACTACTACTACTACTACTACTACTACTACTACTACTACCACTAACACTACTACTACTACTACTGCTTGTTGAGATTCTTCAACATAATCTGAGAGGTGAGCTTGACGTTTTTACGCATTGTGCGATTCCGCAGATACTTTTTCATCTTCGATTTTTGTAAGACTAGGTACCTATATGGAGAGTTTGCATGGAAGTCATATAGAATAGAATAGAATAGAATAGAATAGAATTTTATTTATACCAGAGACAAATTTACAATCTGTGTAGTACAAGTCCTAACTACTTATCTAATAAGTGAGAATAATATGTGCTTACAACTATAACAATATTACAAAGCAAAAATGGAATTTGCAATTATTTGATTGTCTATCCGATTGTGCGCCGGGGCAACTTACATTGAACGGGGTGGCGCATTTGCTTTTCAAAACTGTAGGAAAACATAGTGATGACAATTTTGTGCCGAGCATTGAGACAGTACCCAGTTCCAATTTCAGTTAACGTCACTCATCACTCAAATCTTAGGAAGCCTTGACGAATTTTCGTCATTTATAATATGAAAAAAGCCTAAAATAATCAGGAAATGAATGCATGATGAGTTCCAGATGTTCGTTTTATGACTGAAACTGTTTCAGTCATCATACTCCGCTTCTTCGATCAAATATATAAAAGAAATTTATGTCAGACGTAGCTCAAGGAATAGCTCGTTGATGAGCAGGAACGCTAACATGACCATTCTTTTCTGATTAACTAATGTCTCAAGCTGCTTCAGAACTAATAAACTTGAGCTATACAAAAACATCTCCTGTGCATTGCTTCATTTGTTTCCAACTGCTCAATTATAATTTTCAGCTACAATGAAGGTATATCAGGACTTCTTCACATACAACGGAGGTATCTACAAGCACAGTGATTTGACACTGAGTCGCAGACAGGGATATCATTCAGTCAGGATTGTTGGATGGGGAGAAGAAATTAGCTACAATGGAGAACAAAAATATTGGGTGAGTATCTTTATTCTCAGACAGTTTGCATACAAACCTTCTGATTCAAAAATTTTTCAACTTTTGATTCCATGTTCCACCATTCTTAAGATCCAAATAGTATACGTCCCATTGAAAGAGTTCAACCGGGTATTATTAGCAGCGTATCGATTTTTATATGGATGATTATCATTCCACAGTTTCAAAACCACAAAAATGTCTAGATATGGAAGTAGCATTCAGCTTATGGCATTGGAATTAGCGCAGCCTCTGTAATGCCTGAACGATTTGTTTGTATATGGTCACTATGCAGTCACTACCTTTAAGCATTCAAATATTACTTCAGAACCATGTTAGCGAAACAATCTGGAGAAACTGCATGCACGAAATATTCGGAGTCAGAAACCTCCGCCATTTTTTCTGGAAGAATCCGAATTTTGTATTCTTTATCGATAATGATCCGATTTGTTTGAATATTTCATTCGCAGAAACCTCCTTAGTAAATGGATCATTCGATTTATGAAAACCATAGCAGCTCTCGATATGATTAAGAACATCTCTATAAAATTATCTACCTACCAGATTATACAAGGCTATTTAGTGACAAGTATCATCCCAGATAGCACAAATACCTTTTGAGGCCCTTCTGAGGCGTTTACAATAATGTCCTCCTTCCTGATGTTACCAATATCTACGTCCTAATAAAGTCTCTGGATTTTTCTATAAGGACTTCTGTGACATGCATAGGACGATATGTATCAACTTCAGGCAGTATCCTGAAATGACTCCTGGACATCTCTAGATAACTTCTTGGGGATATAAATGGGAGATAGATTACAAATTATAATTTTTCGAAAACATATGGGTCTCATGATATTTCTCTGTATTGATAGTAATGTTCAAATGAAGTACTCACATTTTATTTATCATGACCCTTGTGATATAACCTATTCAGAAGGATTTCGAGTTTTTTTTTAAGAAAAATAGTTCAGCTTTTTGTTGAGGACAACTAAAAGTATATAATTACTTATTGTTAGTTATATTTCTTCATGTCGTTTCTGATTCCTGAACCCTGGATATACTTTCTGATGCTGAATCTACTGAAAGTTGAAGCGTTCATCCAATATTTTATATATTCCAAAAAAGCCAAAATATCTTGAAATAATAAATCTCTGCTCTAATGATATTATCGAGTTTGTGTTATCCAACACCTTCTGAAACGAACAGTGGTTCTATATCTCATACTCAGTAATATCTATGATTTGATTTACTAACCTCTGTTCCATTCTTCCTGCAAGAAATATCATCATCAACATAATATTATTATTATTGTTATGTTCTAATTTTATTGATAATTTTTTTCTATCGTTCGTATCTCTAAACCATGGAAATAATTTCTAATGTTGAATAAACTGAAAGTTCAGGCCTCCATACAATCTTTTATAGTTTCTGAAGAAAGTCGCAATATCTCAGAATGAAACATCTCCGCTCTAATTATATCATCAAATTCGTGTTCTCAATAACCTCCTGAAACGAATAATGTATTAATATCATGATCACTACTATCAATGAATCGATTTACTTACCTCCATTTCTCTGTGAGAAAAGTCATCACCAACAGATTATGATGCTTGTTATTGGTATCTTATAATTTTGTAGTTCTTCTCGTAGTCATTTTGTGAAATATGTGCATGATGAAAGTACATAATGAAAACATTCGAATATGTATGGTGAATTTGTTATCACGCACTAATATAAAGAACATAATGTAAATGATTATGCGATATGACATGGGACATAACTTTCTTCATATTCCCTTTGTTTTGGTCGACATGATATTTCATGAAATGCCATTCAAAGGCATCCATGAGTACGAAATCCTCTGCATCCACAGGCTGTCACAAAGAACTTATCTAGGACAATCACAGCGATGAATCTAAGCTTGATGATGTTCTTAGGTTTTAGAAAGTAGAACGTTTTCTCATTCATTTGGCGACCCATAATCTCAGGCTATCTGGGATGAATTGAAGGGCTTGTAATTCTAGAAAAAAGCTGAGATACATGCTATGCGAGAGTCTCATTACCAATATTGAAGTGTCGGTTGACCAAACAGGTTTTTCATTATACTTCTCACGAAGTAGGTCAATTATTCTGATTTTATGTGTATATGTTGTTTTTGAAATTAGCGAGCATATGAAAATTCCGAGTACAACGGGAATACTCAGTGGCGTAGATTCCAGGTCATATGACAATTTTTGTGTCACGAAAAATTCTGAATTGATTCTTCATAACTTTTATGTACTAGCGGGCCGTAAAGTGCACTTTACCGCCCGATTTCGCTGGCGTTAAGTCACACCTTACCACCCGCGGGCTCATTATGGCCCACGAACCGTAAAATGCACTCTACCGCCCGCTGTTCTCAGTTTCCTTATATCCACATATCAATAAATAAAAAACCAATTAGGTAGGTATATATAGGTACTGGGTATGCATGTAAAATTCTGAAGAATGAATCTTTTCTAGAGATCAAAGAGTTTTACTATTTCGATAATTGCAATATTCGTACTACGATAATTTTACGCTTCTCTTGATTACTGAATTCATACGTAACAATTTGAATTCGGGGGAATATTAGTTTATCCAAATCTATAGTCATTATTTTTGAATCAGAAAATAAACCACTAGTGCATAAAATTTTGTATGTGCGTACGTGCGTGAAATGCGTTTATGGCCTTCAGCCTGTAATGGCTCTCGGCTAACTATTTTGTTCACCAGACTAAATTGCTACAACCTGTAACCTGATGATTTCAATTATTTGGTTGCATATTCCGATGATTTTATAATTGTTGCTCTCGGTACCTTGTTCAATGAATGATGTTCATTGAGTAGCACGTGAAATTCATTTGTAGATAAACAAATATTTGAGTATTTATATAGAGCTTCGAATCGAACCAATAGTTAGTCCCTCTGATGAAGATACTGTATCCAAATCTGGAGGTACAATTCATTTTTGAGGTGATCAAGAGAATAAAAGGAATCAATCATTCAGATATTTCTATAGCCTTGTTTTCTTGAAAAGCATTATAGGTATGAGGTAAATCTCGATCTTTATTTTCTGTACAATTAATGCGTTGAATTCTTACAACTCGGAATTACATAAATAATGGACAGTAGATAACATAAAGAATTCATGTATCAACTCATCTCTTTAATATAATCTCAGAAATGAAGTCTCAACTATATGAAATATTTTCTTCGCAATAATATGGTACCTACTATTTCATCAGATTAACAAAGTAGTCCAGGTGAAACAGTGTAGTGTATTATCGTGTCAAAGGTTTCAGTTTTCGATATCGTACTCATAGTTGAAATAATTGGAACACCCTAATATATTATGCATTAGCATCATTTCGAAGTATAAGTTATGTTGTCTCCTTGTTTCCAGAAAGTTGCTAACAGTTGGGGCAGGAACTGGGGAGAAGACGGTTATTTCAGAATAGCAAGAGGTACAAACGAATGTGAAATAGAAACATTCGTTATCGCATCATGGCCTCGTGTAGATAGAAAAATACAATTGGCCAACGAGATACCCAATAGTGAATGAAAGTTTCCAGAAATCGTTATATGTTGAGTAAGACACAGAAGATTGAGTGAAACAAAATGACATCTCACATCGATGAAAATATACAAATTTTTTATTTCTATACAGGATGGAATCCAAGTGTATTTGCTCGTCTTGAATGTGTTATATTATTGTTCATATTTAGGGAAATTTTGCTAATAAGCGATATGGTTACTCGATACTGCCCTTAGATTCTATACAATGTGTTCCATCACGATATGGTAATAATTTTATATATTTATACAAATATATCGATGAGTCAACGTGTTCTCTTTTATTTTGTCAAAACCTTACAGTGTGACCCACTTCTAATGGAAACACCCCTGTATCTTACGTAATCGTTGGGTAAGGATCCTGAAATTTGCTGGAGCGAGAGATATACCAACAATGACCAAGTGGGGTCATCTTCAGTGATATACACTGCTCGCCAACAGCCATGGAACCACTACAATTTCCGGAAAATGATATTAGGAGTCAAAATAGGTCGAAAATCACTTCAGATTCGGAATCAGGACGCACAATTCACTAACTATTCTTATTCTTCCTGGAATATTTTCAGTTCTGAAAAATTGAATTTTGTCGCGCGCACTTTTTACGGAAGCACCCCTTTATACGTACGTAATCAACTTTATCTTTAGACTTTCCCTTTCTACTGCAAATTTCAGAACCCTACCTCAATAATTACGTGAGATACGGGGGTGCTCCCATGAGAACTGAGACAAAATTTGATTTTTCTGAACTGAAAATTTTCTAGGGAAACTATGAATAACCAGTGAATTGGGCGTCCTGATTCCGAATCCGAAGTGATTTTCAACCTATTTTGACTCCTAATATCATTTTCCGGAAATTGGGGTGGTTCCATGGCTGTTGGCGAGCAGTGTATATCACTGAAGATGCCCCACTTGGTCATACAGTGCATTGGTGGTATATCTCTCGCTCCAGCAAATTTGAGGATCCTTACCCAACGATTACGAAAGATACAGGGGTGTTTCCATTAGAAGTGGGTCACACTGTATATCCAGAAACATTCAGAAAATAACAACTCATGGTGAACTCCCACTACAATTAATGAAGAACTCAATTCGAGGAGAGCTCCAGATAGAAAATTTGGTACAAATGATAAGAATTTAAAAGAATTTGGGGACATTTACCATTCAGTATTAAATGCGAATTTGAGGAGAATTTAAGGGCGATTGTAAGAATTCAATAAGAGACATTGTAAACATTTGCGAGGAATTGTGGGTATTCAATCTGGAAATTAATGGGAAATGGTGTACAAAATCCACATCCCTTGTCCCAATTTGATATCATTTCTACAGCTTCTAGACTCTTCAGTTATTTCCCAACAATTTTGTTTGTGCTCCATAGGTGTAATCCTTGCTCTTCGAGATTTTGTACTGATAAAATCTATTTTTCAGAAATATCTGAATATGTTTCGATCCAGGTATAACTCATGCTCTGAATGTTAACAAAACTGTCACTCACTATAGTTTTCCATTAATCCTTTTTCACGCAATAATTTTATGTGGTTCATGATTGTCATTAATTTTTCTTGACCTCAATTTGAACAAGTGAGATGATTTCGATGTAACTCTCTCATGTCATGATAATAATTCACTGTATGAATATTAACGAAATTGACAATTGCATGCTCTTTCCTCTACTCATTTGGACTGGATAAGAATTTATTGATCTTCCGAGCCAATCAGATTGAAGTCACTCCCTCTTTGCTGAACTTACAAATTCTCTGCAAATTCTCATCGAAATCATTCTTGTCTCCAAATTTGGTCCTGTGATATTGACCTGTTTCGTTCTTAAGTGACCAGTGAATTCGTTTTACAAACGTACGTACCTACCTATTCTATACATTTGTTCATGCTATTGATGCTGCACTCAATTCAAAATGAACATTCTTATGTTCACTTTATGATATTGTCTACTTATTCATTTCGAATTATCCCTCGTGGATGCTTGATAAAAGTTATTTTTGTTTAAGACAATTATTCTTCACTGTACTATAACTTCAAAACAATTCAGTGCTTCACATGATAATTTTGTCTAGTATAGCCGATCATTACACGGGTTTGCATAGAAATGCATTAGACACGATGGAAAAAACGACGGAAAAGGTACATAACCAATTCAATAAGAAGAGCGCCCCGCTGAAATATGAGGAAGGAGATCGAGTTTATGTAAATAACCCCGCCACTGCACCTGGAATCAGCCGAAAACTTGATGAACCGTGGGTAGGCCCATACCGCATAATAGAATTACGAGGAGTTAGTGCAACTGTAGAGGAGATACACGGGATTGACGAGAAGAAAGTGCATGTCAATCGATTAAAACCTTGTTCGGCGATGAAAACAAATTCTAATCTACTGGGAAATTTCCCGATAAAGCATCGAAATACCACGGGATGGGAGGATATACGCGAAGAAATAATCGACAAGTGGAAAATGGGACACCAAACCCGCAAAATCAATAATACGCTATTCCTGGAAACTACAGAAAACGAGTCAGAAAATGAAGCAAATCATGCCGAAGTAGTAGAAGAAGAAAATGGTGACGAAACGACAAGTGAAACGGAAAATGAAACGGATAATGAAAATATATCAAGTGGAAATGAAGAAGACTTTATAGGAAATCCCGAAATAGAAGAATTTCACTCCTTTTCATCTGAATCGGCTAACGAAGAAAGTAAACTTGGAAATAGTATAGAAAATGAAGGTGAAATGGAAACAGAAATAGAAAATTCTACAGCAGGAGTACCAGAAATGAGTTAAGGACCGGCACAAGATTATCCGTGGATAAGTAAAAATAGAATATAATAACAATTCCACTCATGTATAATAGCTCATTGAAAATTATATATTTTTTCCAGAGTAGATAGTGGAAAATTACAATTTGATATGTTTCAGAACATGTTGCTAGTTTTGTGTCTAGTGTTCGTCAGGCTGTTGAGCCTTACACAAGAGGACATCATTGCCTATGATTGCCAGGACGAGTCAGTGGAGCTGACTAAACTGTCCTTGCTGAGAGTGAAGCCATGCCTCGACCCAAGGAATGCCACGGAGACTACGAGAAGGAAGATCCAGCTCATCCAGAAGCGACAATACGTGGGAGTCCAGGTCTACACTTCCCTCGTCGTGGTGCAACAGTTCATCCAGTACTGCGGAATGCACTCCCATACCAGCAGCGTCGCAGGAGGCCTAGAAAAGTACGTCCACTACGTCTCTGCCGAGACGTGTCTCAAGGCTCATCAGTTTCGGCACATGGATCTTCGAGGAATAGGTGGCGGCATCATCAGCAAGATCAGCCTCAACAGGATCACGGAAGTATCAACAACCCTCCAAGGACACCTCGACATGAGCGGAAAATGCGAAGGTATCAAATTCACCGTCGGAGATATCTCGTACGAAAACGTCGTCGTGTCGGCCGCGATAACAATCAAGATGTCCGATTATTTCACTACCGCGGATGTCGAACGTAATGTCGTGAATCTTCGTTCGGGAACCATATGTCCTTATAATGATGGATCCTGTATTGATGACTTCTCCAGAGAGGCGATATGGAAAGCGAAAATCGCTGATCAGTGCACAAACAGTGGAGTTGATGTGCTTCATGAAAAAAATGCAACATTGCTCACACTCAGCAAGGATCCACCCACATTTTACGTAATCGTGGATACCGAAGATACCGTTTTCGCTCTGAATTTGTCAAGTCAGAGGATCTATGTTATCAACAAGCTTGGCAGACCGTACAAAATCGTTTGTTATTAATTTTGAAAGATTCGTTAGGATTTTTCTACCGAAAATCACTCAGACCACCTCAAAATACAGATATGATGTTGCATGTACTCAGCAAATTGCTTTATTTGAAAATTGCTGTCAAAAGACAAATGGCTGATGTTGTCTACGATGCCATTATGAGGTGTCAATTAAGAGAGAAGATTCTACAAAACCGGATCACTATGGCCTCAAAATCACCTCATCTCGTGGGTAACCTAGTGAAATGAACTACAGGTTATATTAGACGAGTCATGGGCGCAGTACTCTATATCGTGAAATGTAAGCCAATAATTGTCGAGTACTCCTGTACTCTGAGCCACGGCCTGTTACCAAGAATTACCTGTAACGTACCAGAACAGATCTCTATTCCGATTACCGATGACCCACATCCTGACAGAACACGGTACCGAAATAGATTGCCAGCGAATGTTGCCTCCTAGTTTCAGAATCGAGGGTAAATGGGTAGAATTGACACCTGCATTGAAAAAAGTCGATCCAGCTGTAGCATGTAAATATTCACTACTGTATATTTTGTCTGATTCTATACTATTTTGTACTGCTGAGCACATCTGACAGGATATTTTGTCACAATAACATAAATTGAACTCAATCTGCTTCATATTATTTAATTATCAATTAGCTGTCGGTCATGACACAGTGTCAAACTTGTCATGCGCCAAACGCCGATTCGGATTGATTCATCGCCGAGCCAACTCAGCCCCAAGGTCTATTAACTTCTATAAGGTTACCTCATAGTATAGCATTATGGTGCGGGGGTGCGCGGAGGGGCGTGACGTCAGTGTTTCCCCGACACGTGATTGTTGATTTCGTTTCTGTCACTGTCAAATGGATTGAAAAAATTTTTGAATTTGAATTCGAAAGAATCGCGAATTTTAGACTTTAGTTGAAAACATGGTGACAAGAAGACTGAAGATATCTTTAAAAGGGGGTGAGAGGTTGTATAATAATATGGTGTAGTATTATTCAAGGCTGGTCACATCCTAATATTATTATGTGTGGAGTGTGGATATAGAACAAACAAATGTTATAAAATGCCTGTGTTTACAATCATCTGCTCTTGGGCTTGGGCAGCCTCCACATGAGATTCAGATAATTCCAAAGGAAAATGATGAGCTGTGGCAATGTGAATGTCCCTGTGAAGCAGGCATGTCATGGTTTTGTAAACACATTTTATAGGGACTTATATTGACAGGTAGGAAGGTGCACTTTCGATCTATCACACACACAGGTAAAAAATACATGAAATTTCAGGAATGAAGACTTGTAATATGTGAAGCTGCATATATAACACACAGAAGTGGTGAAAATATAAAGAGAGTAGATCAATCAATGATCTATTATACAGCAAAACCCTTTCAATATTTCTGCTACCTGCTTATTAAAAGAAGGAAAGTGACCCCCTAAAATCATTCTCCTTTTATATAATTCAAGTTAATTTTACAGGGTATATCAGTAT